GTCATAAGAAATAGCTGCAGGTCGTCAAGCCAAGTGGCAAATTCTATCGGGCGACCGTCAGGCTCAAACGCGAGAACGTTAAGCGTCGCCATTACAGCAGCGTAGGCAAAGGCAGCAGACTACAGCAGCTATCAGGCTCACAAGTCAGGCTGGTGCAATGTATGCAAGGCGCAAGGCAGGCAGGCAGGCCAGCAGGCAGGCAGGCAAGCCAGTAGGCAGGCAGGCAGGCCGGCAGGTGCAAGGCAGGAAGGTGCAAGGCAGGAAGGTGCAAGGCAAGGCAGGCGCAAGGCAGGCACGCAGGTCAGTAGGCAGGCAGACAGGCCAGCAGGTGCAAGGCAGGAAGGTGCAAGGCAGGAAGGTGCAAGGCAAGGCAGGCGCAAGGCAGGCACGCAGGCCAGTAGGCAGGCAGGCAGGCCAGCAGGTGCAAGGTAGGAAGGTGCAAGACAAGGCAGGCGCAAGGCAGGGCAGCAAGCGCGCATGGCGAGGCGGCAGCGTGCAGACAGGGCAGAGCGCAGCAGCGACAGGCTGCGCGGGGCTGCAAGCTGCGCGCGGCTGCGGGCTGCTCGGGGTGACGTGCTGCGCGCGGCTGCAGGCTGCGCGCAGCGGCGGGCGGCGGGCCGCACGTGGCAACGGGCTGCGCGCGGCTGCAGGCTGTGCGCGGCGTCGGGCGGCAGGCTGCGGGCTGCGCGCGGCTGCAGGCGACGGGCGGCTGAGGTGGGCAGCGCGACGCACTAAGCTGCAGCGGGCCGTTCGCGAGGTGCAGCAGTGGGGCGCACTAAAAAAAAGAATTTTAACGGGCGCGCGCAGCCGAGGCGCGCGCGGGCAGCAGGCAAGGCAGGTAAGGCTGTAGGGGCAGACAATGGTGGGCCCGAATCTCAGGTCCTAAGGACCTATTGCTCTAGTTACCATGTTAAGAACACTAGGCAAGAATGAGTGGATTAGGTCAAGATGGGGGTACAAGGCTAGAATGTCGAGAGAAATTCTGTACCCCCTAAAGCTAGCCCCAATACAGCCTAACTAACAATAAACATATAGTTTGACACTAAGGGGCCGCGGTCACCTGGTCAAGCCAACGCATCAAGTGCGCGACGCTCTCCTCGACCGAGTCGGAGTACGTCGCGGACACGAACGCCGCCTAGGAGGGGCGTCGACTTCGCTTCCTCCTTGTAGAGTTCAAGCAGCTCGATGCTGGGAAGCCGACTGTCCTCCGTGTGGACAACAAGTCGGCAGTCACAGTCGCTACGGGCTTGGGGCTAATTGGCAACCTCAAGCACATGGAGCGACGCTATGCCTGGCTGCAGCATATGGTGAGGCGCGGGAAGTTCATGCTGAAGTACATCCTGACCATCGAGCAGCTGGCTGACTTCCTGACGAAGGCGCTGCATTTTCAGGCTTTGAACCAGTGCTCTGTCTCCATAGGCCAAGTTCGTCTGGCCAACGTCGGCGACGGCGACGATGATGTGCAGCAGTAGGTGCAGTGTCCTTCTGCACGGCTTGTGCGGTGACAGCATGTTGTGTGTGGGGTGCACGCCAAGAACGGGTTTTCTCCGTGGAGTACTGCTGTGTCGGCTGGAGGCCCAAGCATGAGCGTGGTAGGGGAGTGTTAACGGGAATGTAGTGTTGGCCCCGCCCTCACTCGGACAACGCCGACGACTTGGTCGGATGTACGGGAGTAGCAGCCGACCGTTAACAGTGGGAGAGCTGCTCGACAGGCTTCGTCGAGCTCCAGGGGACCGCTATGGTGTTGCTGTCGACCAGGGAGCTCGACAACTGCAACTAACTCGTCTGGGCGACGGGTGGGCCGTCGACCAGGAGGGGCAGTTCGACCGGGAGGTCGACGGAGCAGTCCATCGACCTGACAAGTGAGTAGCGGTCGACGAGGGCAGGTGGGCGACAATCGCTGACAGTTCTGGTTGACGAAAGGGGTCCGTCGACCAGGGGGTAGCTCGACAGGAGCTGTGGTCAACCAGAGGCACCTGGTGGTCGATAAGAGGCACCTGCTGGTCGACCAGAGGCAGTGGTGGTCGACAAGAGGCAGTGGTGGTCGACGAGAGCACTTGGTGGTCGACCAGGTCGACCAGGTAACGTGCTCGACGAGTTCTGCGGAGGCACGCGATCGTCGTCAAGGTTGCGATGGCGAAGGCGACTTTGGGATGGTATCCCGAAGTATATGTGGCTTGTCAGGCGCAGATAACAGCTGACGGATGCACAGCAATGCAAGTCGGGCCAATCGTCTGCGCCCATCTGAGAGCATACGCACTGCTGTCTTTTACGAGGCAACGCTGCACAGCCGCTCTGCTGCAGCGTTGGCACGCCGTCGACCTACTGTGTTGGCAGGTCGCCTTTCTGCAGTGCTGGCGCGGCTCCTCTACGCAGCGCTGGCAGGCGGTCGACCAAGCTGTGCTGGCGGTCGACTAGGCTAGCTGCAGAGTTGTTAGGTGCCTGATGTAGTCATTGTTGTTATTGCTTGTTCAATCTTTATGTAATTCCAAATTTGCTAGTGAAACTTTTGCCAACTTCTCCCGTGAATGTGCAAGTGCTAAGGAACGCAAGCAACTCTACAATCGCTCTTAGTAGTTCATGCCTATCCTCCGTAGTCTAGCTCACTACCTTTGTAGAGTGTCTCTCCGCAGGCTAAACCTACAGCGTTATCATGAGTTTCCAGTATGCAAAATAACCGTTAAACTGATTTTACAGGACAAGTAATTCCCTGGTGCTTTTTTTTTTTCAGGAGAAGCACACACGACACCTATCCTTAATTCAGGAGAATCGGGATAAATTATCTTGATAACATAGGCCCTGTATAGGGTATAGGTTTCTCTTGGCATTTGTACTTGTACCTTCGCCCTTTTTCTCAATGCCATCATTCTCCGTAGTTCCTAAAGCCCTTCGTTCTTGTGTTAGTCAGCAACCGGCAGGCCCCTAGACTCTTGATGGACCAGTCTGATCCATCAGCATTGGTACAGAAAGAAACGCTGACAGTCAGCGTTACCAAGGAAAAAACCATTCAACATTCAGTGTGCTGATTGTGTAAGTTTTTTTTTTTTTTTTTTTTTCCTAATTATGGCTTACCGAAACAAAGTCTACATTTTCATGGTTGGTTTGGGAGTGGCGAGGAAAGCAGGTGGGCTAGGGGGAGGGACCAGCAGGTTGGCTGAGGAACGTGGGCTATAAGAGTCGAGTGAAAGTGGGCGGCTGGTGTTGAGGTTCGAGTGGAATAAGTGGGCTGGGATGAGGTGAGATTCGAGTGGAAAAGGTGGGTTGGGGGGAGATTGGAGTGGAAGAATTGGGCTGGGGAGAAAAAGGAGTGGAAGAAGAGGGCTGAGGGGAGATTCGAGTAGAAGTGACGGGCTGGGGGGAGTTTCATGTGGAAATAGGGGGCTTGGGGGATTTTCATGGCACCCCCTAATGCCAGTTTCAGTGTGCAGTGCACCCCTTAAAGAAGGCTGAGTGCACAGCCTACACTGAGTGCTAGCAACAAGCACAACACAACTGCGTGACTACGCGATGTGACGAGAAAGAGGAAATTTTTGAAACGAATCTATTACAAAGAAGAATTATGACAATGTGTGTGTGAGTGTAAGGGTACGTTCCTGTGGAGGCACTTGTGTCTCAATCCCTTTTTTTCCGATTCGCGTCTACACATTTTTGCAATCTCGCGTCACAAAAAATGAGTTTATCACGAAACTGTGCGACCAGGCGAAATTTACAGCTGTGCTCATTTGATTGGATTTCAAACTTGACTGAACACCTGCTTCTTCAACTGTCTGGTTCGGGTGGTGTTTTGACGAGCGGAACTTTTTCCCGCGCGAGATTTTTACTATGGAATGTCCAGGTGCATTGACATTTCGAACCGCGTACAGCGTTGTTGACAATGACGGGTCGATACGCAACTCGTCCGCGACATCAGCGCGTTTCACGCTGACAAATGAAAAATACATTAAAAGTCGCACAAGGGCAACACGTGTTTGTGACATTGTACGTTATAAGCCGGTTTTACGCGTCACAAAAGGATTGAGACACAAGTGTCTCCACAGGAACGTACCCAAAGTGTGTGTGTGTGTGTGTGTGTGTGTGTGTATGCGTGTGTGTGTGTGTGTGCGTGTATGTATGTGTTTGTGTTTTTTTTGTTATTTTATTTTCTTTTATTTTCTTTCCTACCTTTATAATTTTATTTATTTTCTAAAATCATATATTTCTTTAATAATTGAATCATGCTCCATGTGGCACGAGGGAGGTATAGGTAGGCGAGAAGGCCTTGTACACTATGAAAGGTAAAACTCGAAAAGAATATTGTCATACCGGACCAAAAGTGTGGATTACATAATTACCTTGACATATCAGGAATAACATATTATAAAAGGCCATGGGTTAAAAGTGAGACCATTGAAATCTACTAACAACAGTCTGCACAGGCTGGCACAAAACAGAAACTTGCTGGTGGCCCTTCGGAAACAATTGAACACGTTGTTCCTACGAAGAATTCCTCTCAGACCTGATAACTTCCCTTATCCTCACTAAGTAACAAGCTCATTTTTGCGAAGTTATGGTGGACTGAATCGCTGATGAGACCTAGATGTAACCGACAAATGACAGGGCATGGAGTTGTTTTGTTTGTCTGGCGGCCGTTTGTTGTTCCTTTGTACCTTTTTTGTCCCCTCCACCTCACCCCAGGCCAGCCCTTCCTCAAGCCTATGAACAGTAAGTCTGTCCCCACACACCACAGCAGCTCTGGAGCTTTCTCTTCACCTACTCAAACCCTCGCCTTCCTTCCGCTCCAACCCGTTCCGACCACGACAAGGCCCCTCCTCCCACCGACTACAATAACGCCCACCTACCACCAAGCCCTTTTTTTCAAAGGCGACATCGGTTTCTGCAGTTCGTAGCTGTCATTCTTCACCCTCTTCTCTTAGGATACATCGTGTCGTTCAAGACTTGGTTCTTGTAGTTTTGTCCCCCATCACGTTGCACTGCATTCAGATCCTTTTCCCAGCCTTACCATGGCTCATGCTTTGAGACGACATTCCACGTTGTTACCTCATCTCTTGTTGATTTCATGGCTCGCCATTTCTGTTTCCGTAGCTCAAGCTGACGGCGAAAACAGCGAGCCGGATCCCCCTCAACCTAGTACGTTCGAATCATCCGTGTGGCGGCATCTCGCGGAGGGCCGCCTGCAATGGGGCTTGCTGCCCAAATCCGAGCCGCAGCAGCCTCAACCAGTCAGCCAGTGGTCCTCGCTCCTAAACTCGTGGCGCGCCGTCCTTCCAGTCGCGCAGCCTGCCGACGACGCAGGCCTTGCGTGGGATCCGGAGACGCTTTCGGAGGAGGAGAAGAAAGAGCTACTTGCGAACCTGCTGTCACGCGCTGACTCGCCACTCCACGCGCCTGTTCCCGTGCAACCAGCATACGTTGACCAGGAGACAGACGACCCGTACGCACCCACGCGTCGGTCGCTTCTCGACGACGGTACCGCGAGCGGCAACGCGACTGACGGCGGCGGAGCTGTCGGCGACGTTTCTGGCGGCGACGGGGGAGGCGTCGTCGTGGTTGCGTCCCTCGGGCTGACGCCGCGCGGACTCACTGCCGGCCCGTCTCCCGCGGACCTCAACGGCACGGATGCGTTCCGGTTCGCGAGCGTGAAGGCGCGCGACTGGGTGGACTGGCGCATGACTAACGCCCTCACGAACGTCACTGAGCAGGGGCAGGTGCGACGAATGATAGAGCGATGGGGTCCAGGGAGCAAGGCGGGTTGTGCTGTCGTTGTTTGTTATCATTATTCCGTTGTTTCGGTTGGTTGTCAGACAGCCTTTCAGCTGCATTCGAATCACGCACCGACAGCCTTTCATGTAACCCTGTGTTACTCCCTCTGCTCTAAACCATCTGTTACATTAACCCTAAAGAATTCCTCCCATTCATCCCCATCCCATATGTTCCCCCCATTCCCCCGCCCGTGTGCCCTGTGACGTGTACCGTGTGCCAGTGTGCGAGCAGCTGGGCGGTAGCAGCAGCGGACGCCATCGCTTCCATGTGGGCTATCGTCACAGCCGCGCCCTCCGCGCCGCAGCTCGACGCTTCTCGCCTCTGCACGTGCGCGTCGCCCGGCCAAACGGCTTGCTGCGACGGCGGATGGACGGAGTGGGCGCTCTCGTACGCGTTATACGGCAAGGGCGTGACGGGCGGCGACGCCGCGAGCGGTACAGCCGCAACGTGCGACGCTGTTGCGGCCGATGCCGCTAAAGCCAAGGTTGGTGCGCGGGCAAGTCGTGCACGGACGAGTGAGGCAGAGTTAGCCGCCCCGATATAGCATCATTGCGTTATTAGTGAGGCAGAGTCCGGGTCGTCTTATTATCTTCCCGGCAGTTACGATTGCCGTCTCTTTGTGCCCTGCTCGTCCTTACCTGGCGTCGACCACATCCGCGCTGCCTCACCGGTGCCCCTCTCAACCACCTCCTCACCATGGCTTCCCATGTGCGCGCTGCCCGCGCCATGCTATTTTGCGCATGCCGCCCGGCTATTGTTCGCAGATTACCGGGTGGGAGCGCGTGCCGGCGTTCGACGTGGACGCGATGCGGAAGGCCGTCAGCCAGCAGCCCATTGTCGCGTTCCTCTCCGCCTCCAGCCCCGACTTCAAGGTAGCGCCTCCGCCTCGCGCGCGCACCTTCCCGCACTATTTCTGTTTTTGCTCGCCTCGTGCACTGCCTTCCGCTTTGCGGGCTCCACTTCCCCCTCCCCTCCCTCCGAATCACTCATCCACCTCCCCCCGCCTCATCTCCGCTCCCATCTTCTCGCCTCTCACCGCTCTCCCTTTTCCGCTTGCCCTTGAACGCCGCCGCCCCCGCGCGCGCCTATTCCCCCGCGCCCACCGTGCAGGGCTACACGGGCGGTTTTTACAACGGCGGGTGCGGCACGGACGTTGACCACGCCGTGCTGATCGTGGGCTACGGCGTTGACCCGGTCAACGGCGCGTACTGGCTCGTCAAGAACAGCTGGGGCGACGCGTGGGGCGAGCAGGGCTTCATGAAGCTCGCCATTAGGCCCGGCGCCGGGAAGTGCGGCATCAACCAGTACGTCCTCGCGCGCGCTCGCGCCCCCGCGCTCCCGTCTTCGCCTTGTACTCTTCCGCCCCGCTCTCGCTCCCGGCATTCCATTCTGCCACACCCCGACTAACTACGCGCTGGTATCTACCTCTCATCTCACTCCTTCCCCTTCAACCACCCCTCCCCCTCCCCCTCCCTCCCCCCCCCCTCTCCTCTCCCTCCCCTCCTCCCCCTGTCCTTCCGCCCCTCCCGCGTGCCAGAATCGCGCCCATCTACCCAGTCTACTACCCCGACAGTCCCCCCGCCACCAACTTCCCCGTGGGCCCGCTCGCCGCGTCGGGGCAGGCCGCGCCGGAGCCGCCGTACTGGGAGGCGGGATGGAAGCCCGCCGCCAACGCCGCCCCGTGCGCGTCGCCCATCAACCCGTGCGGCGGCGGGAAATGCGCCAAGAGCCGCAACGGGTTTGCGCGCTGCACGTGCCCCGCGGGATTCGTGGAGGTCGTGGACGCGCCGACGAGCATTTGCGTGCCCACCAAGAGGTGCAGCGCGGGGGCGCTGGACCCCTGCGGCGCGGGCACGTGCGCGGACGTGAAGACGGGCGGATACACGTGCCAGTGCGACGCGGTAAGTGCAGGGCAGCGCGTGGGGTGTTGGAGCAGCAGTGGGACGTATTGCTAAATCTTCCATGTTTTCTCTGTTTCCCTAATGTTTTTCTCACCTGTTTTTTTGTGTGTTGCTTAGCTTGCTCCTCCCCTCTTCCCCCCCCCCTCCCCCCGTCTCTCTCTCTCCTAACCCGTGCGTCCTCGCTTCATGCTCCGTCGTGATGTGTCTGTTCTTCTGGATTCTAAGATGTACCCCCCTGTGCCATGCCACCCCACAGGGTTACATGATCGGAGCCACTGCAAGCGGCGCCACAACTTGCGTGCCAATTGCTGCTGGCGGCGGAGCATCCACCTACACCACAGTCTGGGGCGACACGTGTCAGAAGCTGATTAACGTCTTTGGCCTGGACCAGTTCACTCTGATGCAGCTGAACCCCTTCCTTGACTGCACCAACGACCTCCCGGCAGGTATGCTGCTCTCCTCGCCTTTCCTCTCCTCTCCTCCCCTCACCAGCTCTTGCTCAGCCCAGCCCTGCTTCATTCCGCTACCCTCTCCATGTCACCTGCCTCACCACCACTCGCCACCCACCCATCTGCTTCTTCCCTCCCCGTGCATCTCATACGCCATCAGGTCTCATCCTCGCGGTCTCAGACTCTACAGCGGACGCCACAGCAGGCTGTGCGGCCTCATACAAGGTTTCACCGGGGGAGACGTGCAGCAGCATCGCCACCAGGCTGAAAATCTCCACGGCTGCTCTCAAGACCCTCAACCCCATGGCGGACTGTGCACGCCTCTACTCTGGCCAGCAGCTCTGCGCCAAGGCTGCGGTCATCACCCCTGCCTCGTCTGGCCCTGTTTGCGGGCTCACATACGTGGCCACTGGGAGGGATACCTGCAACAGCGTCAGGCAGACATACGGCCTCTCACTCGCTCTCTTCACCTCGTACGTGCTGCCTCTTCTTGCTTCAGCCATGCAATCACTATTTGGTCATGTCTTTTCGCCTTGCTTGTGATGGAGCCGGGCATTTACCAACAAGCTCTCTCTTTCCTGTCTTGCTTTTCTTCCCGCCCTCAGGTTGAACCCAGCGCTGCGCTGCACTGGCCCGCTGCCAGTGGGGCTGACCATGTGCGTTTCTCCCATGTCAAGTGCCATCGTAAGTCACCTCATATGCCTGCCATAGCTGCTCTGCTCCATGTTTCTTCCCTCCACGTTACCTCTCTGTTCTCTATCATTCAACCTCCCTTGCTCAGATGCTCCATCGCTAGAGCACAGTCCGGGTGTCAATAACCTCCCTGCTGCTGTCTCCCATCCTGAATGCCTCCGTGTGCTCCGTGTGCCTCTGTGTCGTGTGAGCAGGCTGTTGGGTGCACGGTGCGTCACACGGTGCAGCTCGGGGACAGCTGTGTGGGTATCGCTGCTGCTGCCAACATCTCCTCCACAGCGTTCCTCGCCCTCAACCCCGGAATCAGGGTACACAACACATCCTCCGTCCACCACCACCCCTAGCTACTTCTTCCTGCGATATCCCTACTTCGACCCCCACCTGCTGCCCCACTCTTTTCTCCTCCTCTGAAGCCAATCCATTGCTCTCTGAATTTCCTCCCAAAGCATTTTCACGAACCCACAACCCTCATCTTCTCCATCCCCGTCCACCCTCCACCCATCCACCCATCCACCCCTGCACCACCTCTCCTCCCACCAGTGCGAGCCGCAGCAGCTGCAGATCGGCCAGCCGGTGTGCATCGACTCGCCTGCTCTCGACGGCATCAACGCAGCGCTGCCCAAGGCGGTGAGGATGCTGCCATACGTGGTGGTGGAGAACGACACCCTGGCCAGCATTGCAGTCTCCTTCTTCCCGCGCTGCGGCACCACTGCGGGCGAGCCGGCCATCTGCCAGGCCAATGGGCTCGTGCCGTGTGACAACAGTGCGCTCAAGCTGGGGCTCGCCATTGTGGTGCCCTGCTCGCCCAGGGAGAGCAACTGCGGCTGCCCCGCCAGCATCATGGTCAGCCTTCACTTCTTCTCTTGCTCGCTTTGATCTCTTGCTCTTCCGCTCGTTACCTCACCATGCGTAACCCTGATTCCTTCCGGGCTTTGCCATTCCTGCGTCACATGCAGTCACATGCATACATGACTACTAGTCCTTACCTTTGCAGCAACATACTCCTTGGCCTCCCACCCCTCACAGGTCTGTGGAGCGGACTACAGCACCTACCCTTCGTACTGCGAGGCGTTGTGTAACAGCGCTGTGCCTGTGACGCCTGGTCCCTGCACGCCGTGCCAGCAGGCCTGCTACAAGCGGTCGGGCCTGAAAGCCAACCCTAGCTTCCAGGGTGGGTGCACTGTGGACCTCAACTCCACCTTCTGCTCCTACCCCACGTGGCCTCCTCCTGACTGGAACCTCATGGCCGAGTCGCCTTGTGCTTTCGAGAACACCTCGTGTGATGCTGTCTGTGGTGACACGGCTTCCATGCTGGCGAATCCGGTCACGGATGCTGCTCAGTGGGGTGTGTTCAAGGCGCAGTGCAAGGGCCAGTGCATGTGCACGCCGCGTGTGCCGTGTGGGGGCGACCAGTGCTTGGACTCCTGAAATGGGACTGCCATGTAAATTCTGTTTCTCTAGGTGGTGGTTCAGCAAGACGTCCAACACTGTAGAAACCTGTACCCTAATTTATTTTCCCCTTGTTTAGTTTGCCACATTGATATTGATGTCCAACCAATCTTATGGCCTTCAAACGAATTTTGTACGGCAGTGAGGAGTTCACCTTCCCTTGGCCTGCAGAGGACTTTGCTAGTTATGGCTATGTGATATACCGTATTCTCCCGGACATAACACCCTAGGGTATAGCTAAAAATACAGGGAAAAAATGGGGGGGGTCTCCTCATAGGAAAAAAATACATAATACCCGGGTCTTTACATATGGCATATCTTAGTGTTAGTGTTTTTTTAATTAGTCAATGTGGGTGTTTTGCTGGTCGTTTTAGCATCACTGCCTGAGGCGCGAATGTGAGTTTCGGCCTCGAACTTCATCGCCCCCACGAAAATGGCATGTGGCACCTCTCTTGCCACTTGCAACGGAAGATTCACCTGCACGTGGCGACAGAGAAATAGTGGGAGGGGGCAAATCTCGGCAGATTGCCTTTGAATGTACCGCGAAATTTCATTGAGGGAGAAATTCACACGACATTCTTCCGTATTGCAGCTACTCGTTAACGACTATAATAATGAATCCGTAAGAAAAGGGGGGGTGTTATAGAAAATCAGCCAAAAAAGGGGGGTATAGTAGAAACGAGGTCTATCATAACACCCACCCCGCACAAGCTACCCGGGGGTGTACAATTATGGGGGGGTGTTTTGTCCGGGAGTATACGGTACACTTGTGTGCAGTGTACACCTATGTAATTTACACAATGTATGCATTGTGTAAATTAGAAAGCTTGCTTGCTTATAGGAAAAATTTTAGAAAGCTTGCTTTCTTATACTGATCATTTGGCATCGTTCTCATTGCAACTGGGGCATCGTTCTCATTGAAACTGGCAAATTACAACATGCACCTCGAGCTAGACAATATAGATGCTAGTACATGACCTGATTCCACCTACCATAGCATTGTACTAGCTATCCTGCATTATGCGTGCGTACTACCAATCATATGACTAACTGTCTGTCCTCCTGTTCCAGCGGCGTCGCAGATGTCCTCGGTGTCGGGGTGGGGGGTGGGAGAGTTGCATGAGCCGTTGGAAAATGAGAGACGTGGGTGGAGGGAAATGAGCTCCAACCCACGTTTTGTAGTTGGAGAAGGGCGTTTAGCGCGCTTCGACGATGCCAAATCTGCGTTACAGGCACCTGCGCTTTCGAAATACGTAACTTTGAACAACACTTCGTGTGTTTAAAAATTATCATATTTAGAAAGCTTGCTTTCTTATACTGATCATTTGGCATCGTTCTCATTGCAACTGGGGTCTCTGAGACATGGGCAGCGGGGGCTTTCGATGGCGGACGAGTGCCTCGGCATGCTGCGCTGAAGAAGGGGCGTATGCCAGATCTTGCAACTGACGGGAGGCGTTGACGAGGTGTTCGGCGTTGGGCGTGACGTACATCTCCTTCGCTGTGTCGCTGCGCCATCTGCCCAGTCGTTTGAAGATTCTGTCTGGCACACTGGTGTTTGCCGCGGCAGTGGCTGCTCCTTTGCGAAAGGAGTGAGTGCCCAGCTGCTGTTCTCCTAATCCGATCCTCCCGAACGCTTCTTTACACCAGTTTCGGATCGTCGGGTATGATGGCGGCCTTGCTTGGCCACTTTGGGGTGAACCGCGTCCAAAGACTCGAATAAGTGGCCCCGCGGACTGCTGGTTGTACCCCGCAAGTTGGATGAGTCGTCGGGTGCAGCGGACGGGGCAAAAGGGGTCATGAGTTGCGGCGATGGGTATCCATGTGCCCCTTCCAGCTTGGTCCGTCTTGGAGTACGGAATTAGAATCCACATGACCTCGTTCTCGAACTGGATGTCTTGCCACTCGATGACGATGAGGTCCGAGTATCTTAAAAATCCGGTGTACATGAGGATGGGGATTAGCCCCTTTTGGAACTCTCCTGGGTTGTCGGATTGCAGGTAGCTGGCAGACATGTCGTGGACTTGTTGCAGCGAGACAGGCTCCTTCACTCGCATGGGGCGAGGGCAGTGCCTTTTTGCGAAATCGCGTACTTGAGTGGTGAATGGTCCGATCGTTGGGCAGATGCTCCCAGTCATGCGGTGTGCAAAGCTCACGGCTGAGCATGTGAGTTGTACCATGGACAAGGTGGCTTTGTGTTGGATCGCGTACACCAGGTACAGCGCGAGGGTCATGTCCGCCGTGGGGAGGAATGGGAGGTTCACCTTTGCACAAAAGGCTCGAAACTTGACCCTGTATGGCTCATATGTTCGGATTGTTGAATCGGCCCGAGACTAGGAGAGCATCTTTAGAAGCTGGACTTGTAGCTTCGGCAACACGTCTGCGCACAGGCGTATGGGCGGGTTAGTTGAAGACCACTCGTAGTGCAATGATTGTGCTATGAGGCAGTCCTGTGCCTGAGAATGCAGTGCGGTGCGTTCCTACTGCTAGACATTGGCTGCCGTGCGTCAGGGGAATGTGCGCTCTGATGTGCGGGGCCCAGTTTGGTGGGGAGGGTTGTAAGAGTGGCCACCAGTTTGCCCCCGTCCAGTGTGGGGCAATTAGGGTGAGTGATGCGTGGGTGCGTTGTGCGTGGTGGATGACTGCTGGGATCAGCTGGGGTGGTGGGAACGCGAAGCCATTCTCGGCTGTCCATGAGCATGAGAATGCATCAACCGCAGTAGCCTCTGGGTGAGGGATCTTTGAGCAGAATCGTGGCAGATGCGAGTTGCGATGGTTCGCGAAGAGATCGATGGAGTGGGGTCCCCAGCGGCGATCAAGGATTCGGAACCATGGTTGCTTCAGTGAGTAATCGTCATGGTCGATCAGTTTCGACAGCTCGTCGGCATGGGAGTTAAGCTCACGCGGGATCCATTCGACAATTAGTCGAGTGCCGAGCTCCATGCAGGTGCGAATGATGTCCTTGCAAGCGTTGGTCAGGTCGGGGGTGCGGGAACCGCCTTTGCGAAGGATGAAGAAGACCCCTTGGTTGTCCACCCTCACGAGCACGTGTTTCCGTCGGACCTTGTTCGCGTACGTTCGGAGGGCCCATAGGACACCTTCGATTTCCCGTCGGGTGCTGGACGTTGCGTGCAATGGTTCTGGCATGGCTGCACTGGCTTCTTCGAGTTCGCCAGGGAAGGTGAGCAGAGTGGCACCCCAACTGTGGGAACTGGCGTCCACGTGGATTACGGCGTCGTAACTGTTCCGGACGTGGAATGGTGCGCCGTTGAATCTGTCGAACTCCTCAAGCCAGAATTGCAGCTCCTCGGCCACAGACGGGGAAATGCTCACACTGCTTCCCCAGGATGGCGCGTCGTTGATCGCTTGTAACATGGCGTGGCTGAATGCGCGCGCCGTGGCACCTAGCGCGACAGCCATTGACGCGAGCGTGCCAGTGATTCTAGCCAGGTGGCGGACTGGGACCTGCCGACGTGCTTTGCTTGCGCCCAGGAGATTGAGAATGTGTGCATGAAGTGATGCTCGTCGATCGGTGCCAATGGAGAATTGTCCGGAGTTGGTATCCAGCTCGACGCCCAAGAATCGCAGGTGTTGTGACGGTGACAGCTGCGACTTTTTCGCGTTGATTACCAGGCCCGCCATCTTGAGGTCCGAGATTATCATCTGGCACGTTGCTTGTGCATGTGCCTTGGACTTGCATAAAAACAGGATGTCGTCCACATAGGGTACAACTCGGATGCCTTGTTCGCGCCAGCGCCTGGCTAGTTGTTTGATGAGTTGTGTGAAGACAAATGGTGCTGTCGCGAGGCCGAAGGGCAATGAGCGGAAAGAGTACGTGCTCCCCTCAAATTCGAAGCCGAGGAATGTCCAGCATGAGTGGTGTATGTCGATGTGATGGTATCCGGATTTGAGGTCGATGGAGAACATCCAGTCGCCTGTGCGTGCCAGGTCGGCAACGCGGCTTAGCCCTTCGTATTTGAATTTGGGGATGATTAGTTGCGCGTTCACTTTCCGGAGGTCGAGAATAAGCCTGCATTTGTCACGTTGCTCAACCACATTGAGTGGGCTGATGCATGTTAGTTCCGCTGCTGGGGTAGCTACCGCCGCTCCGGTATCTGTCAGTTCGCGAATGGCAGTGCGTGTGAATGCCGCGTGTGTGTGCGCGCTGAGATGGTTGCGCTCGTGAAACGGTTGTGGGGGGTTGTGGCTCCATGGTAGCCAGTAGCCGTTGGCGATGACCGAGAGGATGAGGCTACTTGGGCACCACGAGCCCCACCATGCGAGGGTTGCGCGAAGCCGCCCGCGCATTTGCGTGACGGTCTTGTCTGTGACGGCGAATTCGTACGGATCGTCGTCGTCGAACACCTCATGGCGTATTGCCGCTGCATGTTTGCGGAATGACAATGGAGCGGGAATGCGAAATGAGGTTCCTATGGATATGATTTCCAGCCTTCGTGCGTGAAATGGCGGTGCATGTGATGAATGCGTGCTTGTTGACCCATTCGAATACCATTTGTCACCCCTAGCATCCGCATTGTACGGGTTTTTTTTTTTTTTTTTTTCAATCCACCAACCAAGGTGCGGGTGTGAGTCTTTCCGCGTGGTCACGTGGCCACAACAGGAGGAGAGGGAAGGAACTATCTCGTGTCCTCTCTCTCTCCCTCTCTCTCTCTCTCTGCCTCTCTTCATTCTCGCATACACACACACACCCTCTCTTTTGTTCTCACTCTTGCTCACCCAAGGCAATGGCTGCCCGTCCGATGAGTGCAAGGGCCATTGATTGGGGTCGTACGGTACATATCTTCGCCCCTTTTTTTTTTTTTTTTTTTGCCTCCATCTCCCTTTCTCTCCTTCTCTCTTCTTCTTCTCCTTCATCTTCTTCTTGCTCTCACTCTCTCTCCCTTTTTTTTTTTCATCATGAGCCAAAATCAGAAATCGCTCCTTTAATAAGTCCGCCCTTATATGAAACGGGCCATACATTG